CGGGCCACGGGGGTCGGGGGCGCACGGCGGCAAGCCCCGAGTCTCCGCGAGGGGAGCGTGGGGGAAGGCCAGAACCCGCGGCCCTGCTACCTGAGAGAGCCGGGGGTGGGATGGGGTCCGGGACAGGGATCAGGCGGGCTGAGGAGGAAAGGACCCGGAGAGGGGGCTCCCTGAAGCCAGAAGCCGTAGCTCCCTGGGGTCTCAGGCTTCCGGTCAGCGGGGATCTCTGAATGGCCTGGGACTTGACTGGCCCCATGCTGGGCCCCAGACTTCCATTCATCCCTCCTACTGGAGTTAACTGAGCATCTATTATGCTCCAGCCTCTGTGCTGGATTCTGAGGATACAGTGGCTCAGAACTGAAGACAAGAGAATGTTCCCCCTCTCCTGAGCTCCGTTCTAGTCAGGGGAGACGGTGAACAAGGCAGAAAAACACCTGAAAGGGTGCTAGGTCAGGGAGTGAGAAACATTGAGAAGAAAATAAAACAGGGCTGATGTGTGAAGAAAGAGAGAGGAGAGCTTCTTAGGTGGGGGCCCTGGGGGATGTCTGGAGTAAGAGGGAAAGCTGGACCAGGTGAGGGGGTGACATGTGGGCAAAGGACTGTGGCTCCTCTACCTGGGTGAGGAGGGCAGCACAGAACCCCCATCTTTCATCCATCCTGAGATCTGCCAGGGGCCTCAGGAGGCTCTGGGAACCCAAAGATAAGCCAGGGCCACCCTGGGTCCCAGGCAGAGGGTGGCATTGACCCCCATGAAATAACTACCTTTCCTGAACAAACCCAGCTCCTCCCACCCTCTTGACAACTGGCCCAGGTAGGTATTAACATTCCCGTTACAGGGATGAAACAACGAGGCTTGCAGAACTGAGATGACAGTCCACTCACACAGCCAGTGAATGGCTTCGCGAGTACACACTCAGATGACTTCGAAACTGGAACTCTTCACCTTGCACGTCTAACTGCCCTGACTATGGAAACATCCTGGGGAAACAGCATCTGGGGCTGGAGATGGGGGAGCTCGACAGGATGGGGAGGCTAAGCGGAGTAAAGGAAGGAGAACGCAGTGTATGTGGGGGCCCAGAGCTGCTGAGAGGCGGGCCCGAGAGGCAGTGGGCTGGCAGGGTCTGAGGGCACACCACACTGCACGTGCACAGCCCGGGTCCTGAGCTGCTCGGGCACTGGCAAAATCAACACCGCATATCTGGAAGGATCTGCCCATCATCCTGCATAGATAGAATGATTTCCAGGTATCAAAGCACTCAGAATCTGGCCCTCAGCTCACCAGGTCCTCCCTGAAACTCTCCGAGGGACAGAAACCCATGTCTCCCAAGGCTTAGGGAGTACTCAATTCACGGAGTCACCCAGAGGAGAGTCACCAGTGGCGATGCCTGTTGACAGCTCTTCTCCAGAGCTCCAGGCAGCATTTCCTTCCAGACCACACAGTTGCTGATGGGTGCCACCTACCCAGGCCGGGCCAGACCCCCAATGCCCTTGGAGCCTCCGGCAAAGTCACAGAGATGCTTCTAAGAAGCTGGTCTCCATCTCCCCTGATGACCACAGGACCCTCCCACTCCTGCCTGAAAACCAGACTTTCTCAGCTACTCCCCCTGTCCCTGCTGCCTGCTCTGGACCTGTCAATAACTCCCTTCTGATGAGGCGTTGGTACGTCACCCTACATGGAAACATATATCAGATGCTTGCTCATGTGATCTCTGTTTTGAGATATTTTTACTTTTCCAGTAACTCATCCTGCACACTTCCCACACCTAGGAAGTTCTTGATGAACATAATAGACCTTCTCAGCCCCCTAATTCTTCTTTTATAAAATCCCAAAGCAAAAAGAGATACGCTTTATTATAAAAATCTAGAATACCCAAATGTGCATATTAAACCTCTCAAGAAGCTAAAACAGGAATATTCAGTTGCCAGGGATGTCTTCCGACTTAAGCTCTGAAACCGTCCTTAGTTGCAGATGCTTCCATGGAAAAGTGACTTTGTTTTAAATAGCAGAGGGATGAGATAACGCCCTAAATTCAAATCGCATTAGAGCGTTAAATCCTGTCTTCTCACCTCTGAGTGTAATTAATTGTTATGACTCAGTAATACGGCTTTTAGTTCAGAGTAGGGTGCTATTTAAGGAGAAAAGTCTTGGGCTCTGCACAGATTGCTTTCAGTTACCAGTTCTACTTTGCAAACAGATTTGGTAAAGTAGAGGATGTGTTTAAACTCAAATGACGGTCCTGTTTTTATGTCTTTAGGCTAGGAGTGAAGAAACTAGGGCAGGGGAGTGAAGTGGAGGTGGAGGCTGGTGGAAGATGGCAGAAGGAATGGGACAACCTCCCCACAGGTCAGTTTTGCTCCCAAGTCTTCCCATTCTGGAGGAACCCGCCGTAGAGGGTGAGTGAAACAGAGACATCTACTGGCTAGAGTCAGGACGTGCATCCTGATCTCTCTCTTCCGTTCTGGGACACGGCAGCCTCCAACCTCCCAGTGAGTCTGGATGTGTAAACAGGTTTGCTCTGAGCAAGGAACCACCATTCCTAAAATTAGCAGGAGTTGTTTTGGTGCAATGAGTAGAAATATTAGACACACAAGTATGTGCATAATTTCATGTATTTAATCTCCTGTAATTATCTAAGTAGGTACAATCTTATTAATAAATACCATTTCAAGGAAAATGATCCCCCCCAAAAAAAAAAGATTGGCAAGGCCAAGATGAATTATAAACACAACGTTTTGTCCAGAAAAAGTACAATCATCCCTAGAAATTTTTGGAAGCCAACTGAATCTAGTTCATGATTCTGAGCCCTAAGGTAAGGAGAATGGTGAGTTAAATTACAGTCCAGCATACCAGAGAAATACTGAAGTATTATGCAGCCATTAAAGAGATAATTATGAAGCTGGGTTGCAGCTGAAAAGTGCTTATTATAGATTTATTTAAAGTAAGCTAAAATGTGTATAATTTTAACATGTAAAAAAGATGTGTTAATTTCAATAAATACTGGAGAGGTGGGGGAGGGTCTAGCTCAAGTCGCAGAACGCATGCTTAGCATGCATGAGGTCCTGGGTTCAATCCCCAGTACCTCCTCTAAAAATAAATAAGTAAATAAACCTAATTACTCCCCCCCCCAAAAAAACCCTAAATAAATAAATAAACACTGGAAAGGAGGTAAGACAATGAGGGCACAGGATGAATCCCAGCCTTTAAACTATTTAAGTGATGACTTTGGGCAAGTCATTTTCCTCGCTGAATCTCAGATTTCTCATCTAAAAAGGATGATAATATTACTTAATAATAAAACTTATTGGGAGCCATGAATGAGTCAATGTGTGCAAAAAATAGCGTGCCAGGCACACAGTCAGTGTGCAGAGAACTTTAGTTTTCATCCTGGTGCTTTCTCCCCCTTTATCTTATTGAATGATCCAATTCTCACAAAGGGGCCCATGTTTCCTGTAGTCAGTCATTTCCATTTGAAACGTCTGTGGTCTTCAATTATTTGATTTAGTTTTTACCTAAAAGTGATAAGCCAGATTAAAGCTCATTTACATTAAGAATTTAATTGGATGGTCAACAAAATTTACTATGGTCTCATGTTTAGCAGAGCAAGTGTTGGAATGTCCTTCTGGTATCATTAATTTTATTTGCAAATAAAACAGCTGTAGATGAGCAATAGAGAAAATTCATTAAACCATTTAAACCTCCCTATAGTGATGAGGCCACTGGCTCTGGTCCCTACACAGTGATAGGTATGTATTAAGGTGTTCAGATAACCCTTTCCCTCCCTTAAAAGGAATTCTTCACAGTTGCCTTTGCAAACTTAGTTAAAAGGCAAATGATCCGGGACTACTTAATATCCAGGATGAGTGTTGTCTTTCTCCTGCTCAGACCTCCCCATACCCCCACCAGTCTTAGAAAAGTGGTGGCTTATTTTCAAAGCCGCCCTGAAACATTCCACTCCCCCTCAGAAGTCATGCCCTTTGCACGATGGCTTGCCCATTTCTCCCATCATCGGTTGGAATTCATCTGCACCCTTCGAATCTGCGTGGGACGTGGGACTTACTTGGATCAATCCCAAGTGCCTTTGTGGCACGTCTAAGCTTGGATCCCAAAACACCTTTCAGCTTCTGTTGTTACCCTCCTGGAACCTGAGATCATGGCAGAAAGAAGCCCAGACCAGCCTCCTGGAGATCATGACCACGCAGAGGGAGGCCACGCCAAAGCCGACAGCACATGAGTGAGCTGACCACTCCGTCACACCACTCGAAGACAGCGGCCACATGGGTGACCCAGGTGAGACCCGCAGA